TCCCGGATGCGTAAAAAATGTTGAGTCTCAACAATCTCCCAATATTCAAATTCAAATAAAATAGAACATTACATCAAGATAACAATTGTTATACTTGAAAACAACATATAACGTCAACTTCAAGACATTTACACTTAAGTTCAAATATGATAAAAATATCTAACATACTTAAAATTAAACATAGAACATCGATTGACAATTACTTTATTAGAAATAGTTTAGTATTAAACAATTACTTCGCTACCATTTAAGTCGACTTAATTACAACATAAGCCTCATAAATAACAATCTACATTATTTGTTTATCACTTTAAAAATCATGTAACAAATTATTGTGCTTTTAAGCCTTGCAAATTTTCTCCAAATCAATTTCGATCATGTTGTTCGAGACGGGGGTTGCTCGTCTGACATCGTAGTTCGAGGTTCGGATGGGCAAGTCTTCTTGGCCTTGGGGTTCCTTCATCCAGGAATTTCGAACCCTTATCTTGCAGAGCTGCTGACTGCCAGGGACGCCATCGCTTTAGTGCTTTCACGCAGTATTCCTCTCGTCATCATCAACAGGTCATCCATGCATGTCGGCTAACTGGTCGATGTTTCAAGTGCAATCACGAGGTTTATTGTCATTAGATCACTCTCCACACTTTCGCTTGAGATATGAAGATATCGTTAACCCCAACCGGTCGACCTTTCCATGGTGCGGTCGACCGGTTTATTTCTGAACACCGACCTTTTCTCGGTGTGGTTGGCCAATTTATTTTTGAACGTCGACCATTACACCATCAGGTCGACTACAACATATAACCGATCAACCATTCTTTTCATTTGTAATGGTTAGTCGCATAGTAAATGTTCCATTCAGTCGACCATTTTCAAATGTGATTGACCTTTTTGTCCAAGTTACGGTGACTTGAAAATCATTATGGGCATATCCTAAATTTTTGGATGGTTTAAAACAAAGATAGCCCGAAAAACAAAAAAATACAATTCAACATGGTTTTACTCTTTTGTATGGTCGAGGAAGTGGGTTAAGGTTTATTTATCAAATTGATTTATCCCGGATGCGTAAAAATGTCATTACATTACAATATCATATTATATATATAAAGTTATTTCAAGTCTCAACAACCTCCCTATATTCACATTCATATAAACTATAACAGTAGATCAAAATAACAAATACTAATACTTGAATATAACATGTAACGTCAACTTCAAGACGTTTATACTTAAATTCAATATGGTAAAAGTATCTAACATACTTAAAATTAAACATATAACAACAATATTCTAATATTAACACTTAGAGTTCAAAATATAAAAATCAAAGCACTCAATCTTCAAAGATGGACCATCAATATCCATATTCATCTAGATTGCATCAACCATACGAGAAATTTTGAACATCAATCACATCATACTCAAATCAATTTCCTTAAAATTCATGTAGTAGTGTAACTAACAAAATATTCTAGCATGACCCAAAGATGAATGAAATAAGAGATAGCAAGATATGCACACAATTAATTTTATAGTGTAGTGGTAAAAACAATTTACCTATATTCTTGAGATCCATGGTTTTAACCTCAACATGTATAATTAAATTCTTAGCTTTTTAAGAAAAAAAATTAACCAATTGGTTGAACCGAGAAGTTCTTGTGGGCTTGATTGAGTCTGTGCAGACTCATTACTATGTTATAATTGGAATTTTAAGATATCGAGTCAAATTGATTCGATCGACTGGTCAGTTCATTAATTGAAAACCTTTATACAACATCAAAGAATTTCATTTTATAATTGAGGAACATCCTACCAAGTTTCCTTGCCAATCAAGTCAGTACAAGAGGGAAATAAAGTTTGATATGGTGTTCAATGGTGAAAAATTATGTTCCGTGGTCTGGTTTTAGGATGGAGACTAGTGCTCTTACGGTGTCAATCTCTCTAAATAATCTACAAACGAGTAATGATCCTTTAATGCCTCTTATCACTGCTGTCAAACTTCTACCCCCTAGAGGTGTATTTGTAGGCCTTTGCATAAGGTTGTCTGCGAGGAAAAGTTGGTTTAATACACGTCTGTCGAGCTCCTTTCGAGTATCTTCAAGCTTGGCTACCAAGTTTAGCATATTTCTTCCAAATCTGAGCTCAGTCGGGAGACTCCCAGAAATGGCAGCCCAGGCGCCATTTGGGCTAGGGTCGACTAATTTCATGCCATTTTCTGGACTTTGATCCATTCTCTAATTCTGACTTCCATCAACCATGCCTTGATGTTCCCCACTCGTACAAGATGGTCCACTAGAATACTTTATCTTGAAATCACATGAAACACTACAAAAAATGCATGAAAAATAATATAAGAATCCTAGTGCCACTAAAACTTGATGTGTCTTACTATCCAAAATTGGTACAATATTTTATATCATATGCGAATGTGGTTGAGATGACTACCACTTAATAGATGTTTGCATATGTATTTGAAATTCCAAATAGTGGGAGGAAAATCATTTCTTTTAGTATTTGAAATGAAACTCGTTATTCAAGGGATATCAAAATACGAATTGTTTGTGGGCTTCCTAATGGTGAAGAAGTTGACATCCGTACGTAGTAGGCCAAGTTCGAACACATTCTTCCAAATGGTGGACATCGTGAAACAATTATCTACTTTGACATGGAACTTCTCACTCACCTACTCGACCATATAAAGGTGAATTTGTCATATATGATTTTCAATAATATGCTTGCTTCTTCCCTATGGTATCATATTGACTTTGAATTTTGAGCATTTTAATATAAATTTAAGTGACGAGATTGGCTTAAGAGTTAAAAACCAGATAATTCTGGTTGTGTGATGGTGTGTATATCTGAGCTAACAATGTAAATGAAGATGAGGACGAGACTGATGAAGAGGCCATGAAAGAGCAATGGCACAACCAGATAATTCCGTTCCACTAATCACCCTTAATGAATAATGATACATGGAATCACATGAATGATATGCCTAATTATATTGGGCATATATCCAACCAGATGGACACACTTCAGTTGACTGTAAATGAGATGCAAGATGAAGCTTGATCCTTTAGTGGAAGACACGTATATCCCACCACATTCAAGCAGTGGAATTTTAGTACCACCAATCCGAAAAATCATGATGAGATAGATTAGGAGATTAACGAATGACATTGTGCATTTTATTTGTATTTTGGATTAAGTTTAAGTCGCTATTGTTTTGTATTTGAGATATTTGTGGACTTTTGTCAATTGTGTATATTGTGTCTAAGTATTATCGATTAAGATGTTTTTTTTTTCATTTATGATTGTGGACTGAATTTTGGTTTTTTTAGCAACCGTTGGACATTCTGTTTCCCTAATCCGATCGACTAGAACAAACACCAACTTCGTCGGTTAGCGACTTAGCGTCTACACTTCAAAATGGTCAACAGGTATATCAACATCATTGATGTGAGCATCTTCTTCATTTTGGTCGACCTGCCATCCCAAGAGGTTGGCCTCTTCAACATAATGGTCGTCCATTATATCGTCCACTCGACCTGCTGAAGAAAACGGTTGACAGTTCTTTTCCTTCAAAATTATGAAATCTCGTCGCAACAAGATTAAGAGCGTCACCGGCCGGTAGACCAATTCTCATAAAATGTCAACATTTTTTTTCCCCAATTTTTTTTTGTCAAAAGATATCATATATTAATCCAATCAAAAAGATAGTTACATCCTGGATAATAGCCAGGCCCTGAAATCAAAGAAACGATTTACAGTCGGGTACAAAGAGAGGGCTTTTCTAGCTACCGAATGAGCTACCCTATTGTTCTCCCGACCTACAAACCGCACACTAAACCCCCGATGGGCACGAAAATACTGACAAATCTCTTCCAGGACTACCCCCAAGTGACTATCGCTCGTATCTGCTTGATTAATCTTGTCAATAATGACCTTCGCATCACCCTCGAACCTAACGTCAGACAAGCCATACTCTTGACACCAGATGATAGCCTCCCGAAGCACAAGCAACTCCACTACCAGTGGTTCATCAATTTGCGCAAACTGCACACCTTTAGCCCGAAGAAACGTCCACCCTGGATCGAAAAGAACCATCCCACCAGCCGAGTGGGACCCCTCCTAGTGGCTCCATCCCACATACAAACCAGTCAAGAATCAACCACTTGGGTCTCCGATTGAACCACCGGGCAGGCTATCCTCGGCGGCCGGCTATCCCAATTATGATGAATTGAAAATCATCATAGTTGTACCCTAAACTTCACACACTACTACGAAGTTAGCATAATACAACGATAAATTTGGGTACTTACTAAGTAATCTAAGTCCCACACCTGGCTACCTATTGACTCGCGTAAGTCGTAACGATAAACAAAACCTAAAAACAACTATGACCAACATGCAGTTGTTTCATTTACACGAAAGGAATAATGGACACAAACGAAAAGTGACAGGGATAAACAGCGACTACAATGCATGCAAGTTGCACAAACAAAACAAACCAAACCAACAACTAATCAGCAGGTCGACTGGAGTGGTGAGGGAGTGATCACATAATGGTGGGGGCAAACACACTTCAAGGGTACGATACTTTAGCCGATGACTGTGAAATCGTACCGAAAAGTCAGTAATAGTTTTTTTTGGGTACTGAAACAGAGGTTCAACCGTTTTCCACCTCTAAAATCAGGTACTGATTTGGATTTGATATCTGATATTTTCAGTCGGACCGACCGATAAGACTGGTTTTATCTCAAGCTTGTCCCTGAGTAATGGGCACATGGAGAAAGACCCCAAAATGCATCATTATCATCATCATATATGAAGAGAAGAGATAAATGACGAAAAAGAAAGGACATAGCAATGTGCCCTTACCCTACACCATGGGCGGTTTGGCCTTCCATTTTTTTTCAATTACAAAACAAAACTCTCCCCTTTTTTTCTGCAACTCTTTTCTTTCTTTTGGTTTCTCTATCATCATGTGCTGTGCTGCCTTCTTCTTCTTCTTCCTTGGGTCTTCTTCTTTTTTTACTTCTTTCCCCATTGCTAACCAGTAGCTAGTGCTACAAATACAATCAATCATCGTGCTTAGATTCCCAATATATACATATTAAACAAATCACACTCACAAGCAAGCAAGCAAGAAAGAAAGTCACAGGCCAAAAGCAACCTGCCTGCCCAGCTAGCTACCTTGTGTGCAGTACTGGATTATCTTATATTAATAACAATAATTAGGTTGTGGGTTTAGTTTATTAAAGTGGTCTGTCACGAGACATCACGTGATGGCTTGCTTAATGTCCTTTTGGGGAAAAAAGAGGAGAAAGAAAATATGGGTTTTTTTATTTTTATTTATTTGGGGTGGTGATCCTATACTTATTTTCTGCTATGAACATGAGATTTGGGAAATATTTGGAATTTTGTTTCCCCTCAAAATATGGAATTTTGTTTTTTTTTTTTTCAGAAAAGAATGGGGTTGGTATGTGAATTCTAATTGAAAATGGTAATTAACAGGATTGATCCCCCCACTTAGGTTTGAATTTTAGCATCCTTGATTGCAGGTCTGTGTCAAGGTTTAATTAAGTGGAATGTTGAGAGTAAAATTTTTTTTTTTACCCTTTAGAAAACATATATTAAGATCCAATCTCATAGTAGGGGTGGGCATTCGGTCGGTTCGGTTTCGACCGAACCGAAATTATGAATACCGGGTCCCCGAATACTCCCAAACACCAAACCGAATTCGAACCGAATTAAAATTCGGTTCGGTCGGTTTAAACCGAATTATAATTCGGTTCGGTTCGGTTTTATACACAAAACCGAAATTGAGAGGCTACTTGTATCTTCTCACATTTAAATTATTTTTCACCCTTAATATAAACAATAAATATGTAATTATATGCATCATTAATGATAAAATCAAACTTTTCAACACATAAGTCATAAAACATTTCAAATATTTAAGTCTAAAAACAAATACAAACATAAAAATCCACCATTTGAGCTTGCAATTATAGTATTTCGGTTTTTCGGTCGGAAATTCGGAAATTCGGTTCGGTTGAAAGAACCCTAATTTCCGAAATATCCATATTTGCCTTCCGAATTCCGAACCGAATAGCATTAGTTCGGTTTCGGTTCGGTTTAATTCGGTTTCGGTTCGGTTTGGGTTTACCGAACCGGTTGCCCACCCCTATCTCATAGGTCGGGTAATAAAGTTTTGATCCAATCTCTGGAAAGTGGAAATTAAAAAACATCTCTTAGATCCAATCTCTGCACCCTTAACTTAACTTATGGACCTGCAGTGCAGTGCAGGCTGCACAAAATAAATAAATGACCGTATTAATTTAAAGAGGCCAACTAACCTTATAACCAAGCGGTGAAATTAATTTTTAATTCGGATTAAAATATAATTGTTTCTAAAATGAAATGAATTCTCGATTTATTTGGTACCAAACGAAAACAATTATAAATTCAAGCGGTCATGTTTGGGCCTCCTTCAAAACCAGAGCTCCACACCACAATGATCACCAGAGCTACAGTTGTACTTGGCGGGAAACCAAGTCAGGAAAAGCAAATTACTATACGACACAAATTTGCTCATCTCACCAGTCACCACCCAACCCCATTCAGAGAAAGAGAATGAAAGCCTAACCTTGTTTATCCACATCTCCATCTCCATCTTCTCCCCACGCCCTGACAAATTAAACAAAACTCACCCCCATCTAGTAAAACTCTCTTCCATTTGCACGAACACAGTAAAACAGTCTAATTACTTTCAAACCGAAGGTCTCCAATTCGAATCCCGATCGTGTTACTACTGATCGAAATTCAACCTCCCATCCCATCTCACCTTTCCAAAAACAACTCCCATTCACCCTCTGATCCATCAATCTCTCACACTAACAAGCAATCTCTGCTCAAACACATGATAGCCTTAGCTGTTTCTTTCTTGGATCCAGGGATTCTGTGCCCCTCCCTCCTTCCCCATTTTTTTATAAACCCTAAACCCATCACCAGAAGAAGAAGAGAAAAGAAAAAAAAAAGTAAGAAAAAGCAGTAGCACTGCCCCCAAATTAACTAATCCAAAAGACCAGACCACAATTAATTAAACTACTAAACCCACCAAAGCAAGCAAGACATGGTTGGTTTTGGTGCTTGTTCTTCCTCTCCCTCACTCCCTCACCTTCTTCCTCTCCCTTCTCCCTTTGCTCCTTCTTCTTCTTCTCTCCTTTGTTCCTCCTCCCTAAGCTCCTCAAATCTCTCCCAGAACTTCCCCATTTCCACCTCCTTCCCCTCGGAATTTGCATCCTTACCCATATTTAGTTTACCCAAGCACACCTTAACCTCCTCCTCCTCCTCCTCCTCTATTTCTAATGCCTGTAAATCCATTCTCCCTCTTTTCACTCCTACTCTTCTTCCACTTCCTCTCTTCTTCCTCCCCTGTTTTCGCTCTAAACCCACAGGGCCAATCTCTCCTCTCATGGAAGAACACCCTGAACCCTTCCCCTGACGCTCTCCGGAACTGGGACGCCGCCAGCCCGACCCCATGCGCCTGGTCCGGCGTCACCTGCAACTCCAACAGCCAAGTCCTGGGATTGGATCTCCGGTATGTCGATTTGTACGGCGCCCTGCCATCCAATTTCACCGCCCTGTCGTCGACGTTGACCACGCTCGTCCTCACCGGAACCAACCTGACCGGTTCGATCCCCAGGGAGATCGGAACCCTCCTCCCGGAGCTGACTTACTTGGACTTGAGCGACAATGCGTTGACCGGGGAGATCCCCGTGGAGCTCTTCGACCTGGGGAAGCTCGAAGAGCTCCACCTGAACTCGAATCAGCTCGAGGGTTCGATCCCCGATCGAATCGGGAACTTGACGGGGTTGAAGTGGCTGGTTTTGTTCGATAACCAGCTCGGCGGCAGGGTTCCCGATACCATAGGGAGGTTGAAGAGCCTGGAGGTGATTCGAATCGGTGGGAATAAGAATCTGGAAGGATCGATTCCTGTGGAGATTGGGGGTTGTGATAATCTGACCGTGCTTGGGTTGGCGGAGACCAGCATCTCCGGTTCGTTACCGGCGACGCTGGGACGGCTGAAGAATCTTCAGACGATTGCGATCTATACCGCTCTGCTTTCCGGACAAATTCCGCCGGAGCTCGGCGACTGTACGGCGCTGGAGAATGTTTATCTGTACGAGAACTCGCTGTCCGGTTCGATACCGAGCGCGCTGGGGAAGCTGACGGAGCTGAAGAATCTGCTGCTGTGGCAGAACAATTTGGTGGGGATTATCCCGCCGGAGCTCGGGAACTGCAGGAAGATGCTGGTCGTTGACGTTTCGATGAACTCGTTGACCGGCAGCATTCCGCAGTCCTTTGGGAACTTGACGGAGCTGGAGGAGTTGCAGCTGAGCGTGAACCAAATCTCCGGGGTGATTCCGCCGCAGATTGGAAACTGCCGGGAGCTGACCCACATCGAGCTCGATAACAATCTCATCTCCGGCGCCATCCCGGCGGAGATTGGGCAGTTGGTGAATCTCACGCTGCTGTTCCTCTGGCACAACAAGCTCGAGGGGAACATCCCGGCTTCCATTTCCAATTGCTGGAATCTGGAGGCCGTGGATATGTCGCAGAACGGATTGATGGGCCCCATCCCCAAGGGGATATTCCAGCTCACCAAACTCAACAAGCTGTTGCTCCTCTCCAACAGCCTCTCCGGCGAGATTCCTCCCGAGATCGGGAACTGCTCGGCGTTGATTCGGTTTCGGGCGAATGGGAACCGCCTCACTGGGTCGATTCCGCCGCAGATTGGGAACTTGAAGAATTTGAATTTCTTGGATCTTGGATCGAACAGGATCAATGGCGCCATACCGGAGGAAATCGCCGGTTGTCGGAATCTCACGTTTCTGGATTTGCATTCTAATTCGATCTCAGGCGAGCTTCCCCGGAGTCTCGGCCAGCTCGCTTCGCTTCAGTTCGTTGATTTCTCCGGCAATATGATTGAAGGCAATCTGACTGCCGGTCTTGGCGAGTTGAGCTCGCTCACCAAACTCGTCCTGTCCGCGAACCGGTTGTCGGGTCGGGTACCCGATGAGCTCGGATCCTGCTCCAAGCTGCAGCTACTCGACCTAAGCAGCAACCAGCTACAGGGCAACATCCCGGCGAGTCTAGGGAAGATCCCTTCGTTCGAAATAGCTCTGAATCTCAGCTGGAATCAACTCACCGGCGACATCCCCACTCTGTTCACGGAGCTCGACAAGCTCGGGATCTTGGATCTCTCCCACAACCAGCTCACCGGCGACCTCCAATCCCTCGCCGACATGCAAAACCTCGTGGTGCTCAACGTCTCCCACAACAATTTCTCCGGGAGAGTCCCCGACACTCCGTTCTTCTCCAAGCTCCCCGTGAGCGTCCTCTCCGGCAACCCTTCCCTCTGCCTCCCCGGAAGCCCCTGCGCGGCCGGGTACGGCAAGGATCGGCGGCGGTCGACGGTGGCGCGGCTGGTGATGGTGGTCCTCCTCTCCGTTGCCTGCGCCCTGCTGGTGGCGGCGCTGTACATTATCCTCGCCAGCAGAAGGCGGGGCCGGAACGGTGGGCCCGACGACGATTGCGACCATCTCGATGCCGACGCCGACGTGGAGATGGGCCCACCGTGGGAAGTGACGCTGTATCAGAAACTTGACCTGTCAATTTCCGACGTGGCAAGGTCTCTAACGTCAGCAAACGTCATAGGCCGCGGCCGCACTGGGGTCGTCTACAGGGTCACGGTCTCCTCGGGGACAACCCTAGCCGTCAAGAAATTCAAATCCTCGGAGAAAGTCTCCGCCGCCGCGTTCTCATCGGAGATCGCGACGCTGGCAAGAATCCGCCACCGGAACATCGTCCGCCTGCTTGGATGGGCGGCCAATCGGAAGACCAAGCTCCTCTTCTACGATTACATGGCGAATGGCACATTAGGAGAGTTTCTCCACGAAGGAAACTGCGGGCTTTTGGTCGAATGGGAGACCCGATTCAAGATCGCGTTGGGCGTGGCCGAAGGATTGGCGTACCTCCACCACGATTGCGTCCCGGCGATCCTCCACCGCGACGTGAAGTCGCACAACATCCTCATCGGCGACCGGTTCGAGTCCTGCCTCGCCGATTTCGGCCTGGCCAGGCTCGTGGAGGACGGGCACGGTTCGTTCTCGGCCAACCCGCAGCTGGCCGGTTCGTATGGCTACATGGCACCGGGTAATTAAAAAATCCCAATTCCGTTCCGCCCAATTCAAAATCCAATTCTAACCAAATTATTTTTCTAATTTGATAAATTGATTATTCTTGTAGAGTATGCTTGTATGCTGAAAATTACGGAGAAGAGCGACGTGTACAGCTACGGAGTCGTTTTATTAGAGATCATAACGGGCAAGAAACCGGTCGACCCAACGTTCACCGAGGGGCAACACGTGGTCCAATGGGCGAGAGAGCATCTGAAGAGCAAGAAGGATCCGGTTGACATTCTCGACCCGAAGCTGCAAGGCCACCCGGAGACGCAAATACAGGAAATGCTCCAAGCCCTGGGGATCTCGCTCCTGTGCACGAGCAACCGGGCGGAGGACCGGCCGACGATGAAGGACGTGGCGGCGCTGCTGAGGGAGATTCGGCACGAGCCGATCGGGGGCGGCGGCGGCGGGAGCGAGGGGGGACAGAAGGTGAAGCCGGCGGTGAAGACAGGGGAGAGCCCGCGGTCGTTGTCGTCGTCGTCGGCGGCGGCGGTGACTCCGGCGCAGCTGTTGATGGTGCAGGGGTCCTCGAATTGCTCGCTCGCCAATTATTCCTCTAGTTATAGTAAGCAGTAGGGAATCAGAGATCACATGGCTGCTGTTTGGGTGTTGTAGATCTAGCAAATTAGTTTGAAAAAAAAAAAAAAAACTGGGATTTGACCGGAAGGCCAAATTAGTGCTCTGCAGGGAGAGTGGTAGTGTTGATTAGTTTAATATTTTTCAGACTTTTTGCCCACACCACATGAAGAAGGGCAGAGTAGTTTGTAGAAATTTGGTGGGGGGAGATAGAGTGGCCAATGAAGGAAAGAAAGATGCCTTTCTTTGGATACTCACGTGGCGCACATGCCATTAGCCTGTACCAAATTAGCACAAAAAAATATAAGGAAGAGAAATTTATATTGAAAGATAATAATGTGAGCTCTCTATGAGTAATTTAGGGATGGCAATGGGTCGGGTTTTGTCAAACTCAAATTCAAACTCATGGGGTTATCCATGAAAAAAATCGGGGTAAAATTCATTGGATTTGAAAAACTTAAATCCAACCCAACCCGTTGGGTATCCGCGGGTTCATGGGTACCCACGGGTTTTTGTCGTAAAAAATTCACAATAACAAGTTCCTATCAAAATTAAAGTCAAATATCAATCTCACAATGCAAATTATCCATATATAAAACACCATTCTAGAAAATTCAAACAAATCACAAATTAACTATACAAATTATTCAACACCAATCTAGAAAACTCAAGAAAATTGAAGCAAATCACAAATTATCTATAAATAACATGATTAATTGAAAGCTTCTTCCTTTCAATTAAGTTTTTCACTCTCCACTCGATAACATGAACTTCATTCTACACAACTAGAAAGAAAAAATTAGACATGTCTCCACAAACATAAATAAGATTAGTTGTTTAGAATATTAAATATGCCGATAAAATTAATTATATGGGTGTGGGCGGATACCAATGGGCCGGGTTTATCTAAACCCAAACCCAACCCAACCCGGTGAATAGTGAACAGGTTTAAACCCAAACCCGGCCCAAAACCCATCCACACGAATTTTACCCAAATTAATCGGGTTGGATCGGGTGGGTACCCGTGGGTTCGGGTTTTGTTGCCATCTCTCATGAGTACTCACACCTCTGTTACCCTTATGCTTGCTCTGTTGTACTGTAGTAGAAGGACTTGGCACCTAATTTCCCAAAAACTAACTCCATTGATAGATGGAAAAGTAAGGGTCGTTGGTTTTGGTGATAGTTAAATCGATGTATTATCATCAATGCATGCATAATAATATACATGTATATAAGAAAATTGATGTATTGTAGTTTACATCGTTTGGTTTCTGTGATAGTTATTGTAGTATTTAAATAAATTATATCACTTTTTGGGCGAAATGTCACTTTTACCCTTTGTTTTTAATATAAAAAAAGCAACACACATAAAAAGGTAGGGACATATTTGGAAGAAGAAGAAAACACAACAATCTCCATCAAACAATCTCAAAAATCTCAACGAAAACTTGAGATTTAACTATCACTCATTTTGAGCGATAGTTTGTGTCAAATCAAACAAACAATGCATGTATTGTTTGCGCAGAAAATTAAAAAAAAAATGATGCATTGTTGACATTGCATGCATTGTAACTATCCTAGCCAAACAATCACCAAAACCAAACTACCCCTAAATCCCATACATAGAGATTTGTTTTATAAGGTAAAACTGAACTTAATTAACAAGATGTATTTTGAATTGAAATGAAGGAGTTCCTATGAAGTTGGACATGTTTAAAATGGAGCACTGTAATGATAGGTGACCTTATTTCAAGCCATTTTAATAGGCAATTTAAGGCAAAAGTCGTGAGGATCTAGACTTAAAGCGGATAATATATTGACGAAAAAAAATTCAGTATGTTACAAACCATTTTAGAGTGATTATTAACAAAAATAAAGTTACAGAATACAGTCCTAATATTCATTGTGATTTGTGATATTCCTTGTGATTTGTGATTGTAATGTCGTAATGCTCCGGCAAATGAGGGTGTCTCGATTCTGATATATAATTGATTGGTTATAGTTAGGGGTGGCAGTCGGTTTCGGTTTAACCGAAAACCGAAAACCCGGTTATCGGTTAAACCGAGACACCTCCTATTGCTGCCGACCACCGACCGAAGAGAGGTCACGGTTAGCCGGTCAACCGACCGGTCAGCTCCGGTTTTAGGCTCGGTTAGCCGGCCAACCGATAAAAAATACATTTTTCACAAAAAAAAAATAATAAAACAAAAAAAACTCCACCTCTCCTTCCTTATCTCCTCCTCTCTCCTTCCTTCCTCCACCAGATCTCTTCTCTCTCCTTCCTCCTTCTTCTTCTCACCTTCTTTCTCCATGGCCCATGGCCCCATGCAAACAGATCTGCAGCGGGCGGCGAGGCGCGCGGCGACGGGAGCGAGGCGCGCGGCGACGGGCGGCGAGGCGTGCGGCGCCGGGGAGGAGGTGGGTCGCCGGGGAGGAGGAGGTGGCTCGGAGTCGGAGCAATTTGTGGTGGCGGTGGAAGGAGGGGTAGCGGAGGAGGCAAGGGAGGGCGGCCGGAGTCGTCGTCGGAGGGAGGATGGAGGAACGAGAGGAGGGAGGATGGGGGAGAAGGAGGGAGGATGGGGGGCGGCTCTCACGGCTGCTAGGGTTTAGGGAGAGGTGGCCAGGTGGGTAGTTTTATTTAGGCCAAAAACGGGGTCGTTTAGCGTCGGTCGGTTAGCATCGGTTAGCCGGTTAACCGGCCTCGGTTTTTTGGCTAACCGCCTAACCACTGAACGCTTCCGACAACCGACCGCCACCCATTTTTTTCAGTTTTCGGTTAGCGGCTAACCGGCGGTTACCGGTTAGATCAGCCGGTTAGCCGCTAACCGGCAACCGAACTGACAGCCCTAGTTATAGTTATGGCGGATTTAAAACTATTAATTAACATTAGTGCTACTAATTGGTAAATATTTACATGTATGTATAAACACAATATGTATATTCATCATTAAATTCATATTTGTGTTCTAAAAGTGATGGAGGTCTGGATCAAGGGATGGTTTAAGTGCTTGTTGGAGTTGGTTTAGGTGAGTGAAAGGAGATGGTTTTGGCGTGTATAGTGGAGAAGTGGTGGTGATTTGATAAACTGGGAACTGAAGCAGAATGATCAAGGGAAGGGAAAAGAGTTGGACGTGTGGGAGAAGAGAGGATGGAGATGAAGGCTCGGCAGAGGAATAGAAGGGAGATTGGACGATTGTTATATCTTGCCCTTTAATGAAACAATCCTAGTTTACTTATAGCCTAACAACTTATCATCTATCAATGGTTCAATACACATAATTCCCTCCCAATTATTCCCCAAATCCCGTAAATTCCCAATCAACAATAATAGTAATTACAACTAATAATATCCCTGTAATCATGCATCCATCAAAAAGTCCAGTTGAAAATAGTCCAGTTGAAAATGATTTTTTGCAGAATACATAAATTGAAGAGTTAATAGATACTTATATTTTAAATTATCATTTTCAAAACGATGATAAGACCATTTTTAATTTATCATGCTTAAAAAATCAATTGCATTGTTATTGTAGAGAGTAGAGACTTGAACCCACATCGAGTACCAGCTGGAGCAAAGAGGCGGGAAGGCATTTTTAGTTAAGACTGCCGTTTTGGTCATTTGTGTTTTGATCACTTGGTTCTGTTTTGTGTCAATGTTAGTCCAAATCGAGTCACTTAGTGAGTCGTGCTTGGAGACCATGTATGCTAGTTTGTTAGCTATGTTATGAGTTTTGATTTCGTGCTAACACGCATCTCACTTCTATAACATGACCTCTACAATTTATTAGACGGCTCCTCACACTAATGATTGTCGAATTCACGAGATGACAATTCCAAAGAAGTGAAAAAATTTGCAGAACGTGTGAACCAGATTAGAAGGTTCTTATCCCAGTGAGAATCAAGATTGGAGCTGGTTTTGCACGTAGGATGACTAACTTTTGCGAGCGTTTTGTGGCTTTTTGGCTAGGGCCCAAAGATGTTTTCAGCACATTACCGGAACAGCGGAGAAGAAAAAAGGAAGAGCCGGAAAATGGGGAGAGGAGAGGAAGGGACTCAGTTGCGGCTAGGGGTGGGCATTCGGTCGGTTCGGTTTCGACCGAACCGAAATTATGAATACCGGGTCCCCGAATTCTCTCAAACCTCAAACTGAATTCGAACCGAATTATAATTCGGTTCGGTCGGTTTAAACCGAATTATAATTCGGTTCGGTTTTTCACCCAAAACCGAATTTGTGAAGCTACTTGTATTTTCTCACTTTTAAATTATTTTTCACCCCTAATATAAACAATAAATATCAATTATATGCATCATCAATGATAAAATCAAACTTTTCAACACATAAGTCATAAAATATTTCAAATATTTAAGTCTAAAAACAACTACAAACATAGAAATCCACCATTTGGAGCTTGCAATTATAGTATTTCGGTTTTTCGGTCGGAAATTCGGAAATTCGGTTCGGTTGAAAGAACCCTGATTTCCGAACTATCCATATTTTCCTTCCGAATTCCAAACCGAATAACATTAATTCGGTTTCGGTTCGGTTTAATTCGGTTTCGGTTCAATTCGGTTCGGTTCGGGTTTACCGAACCGTTTGCCCACCCCTAGTTGCGGCAGGGGCCAGGCCAGGGCTTAGAGCCTTAGATCGATAGTGCCTAATAAACTAACAAACATATAATAATAAAATATATGACAGTACTAACTCCATTTCCGGGAAAAAGGGGAAAAGATTCTTTTGTAACGCTCCTGAAATAATTGAGACAAAAACAAAAAAGGAGCAGACCAGCAAAACTGAGAAAAGAAAGGTTTTGCCAATTGATCATTCTGGGCCTACAATTACTGCTGGATCCTGGAGGGGCCCTTTTAACTTTTTTTCCCCCTACCCACGCACATGCATATGCATGGAGAGAGCCCAAGCCCAGCCAGACCAGTCTAGTTATTCTGCTAACCTGAAAATTCGTTAGTATATACTAACTAATATCCAAAATATATGAACTAATATCCAAGTCTGTTGAGTATCTAGATAACACATACTAGTATTCAAAACATCACAAACTAGTATCCAGATAGCAGATACCAACTAATATCCACAATCAACCAACTAGTATTCAATATGGATACTCTTATGTGTTATCTGGATACTCTTAAGTGTTATCGGGATACTAATTATGTGTTATATGGATACTATTCTGTGTTGTCTAGATATTAGTTTGTGAATTTGTGATAATAGTTGATTCATGGTGGATATCAGTTAGCAAACTTTGAATACTAGTCTGTGCTCTCTAGATAATTTAGTACTTGAATACTAGTTCATGTATTTTGGATATCAATTAGTATCTGC